ACTCAGCAATCTATCAGGAGACATGGGAGCCAACAGGTGAGAGTCAGACATTTTAATGTACTCCAGACACACAATGGTAGGTGAGTAAAATGAGCCCAGCAGAGCAAGAAGCCTTCCTGTGTGGAAACAGGAAACAATGGATCCACACTGCTCAGACTGCTTCCTCCTTTTCCCATCCTGCCTACCTCTACTCTCGCTCCCATCCTGACACCTCTGGCCACTCTTTTAGTTCACTGCAGATTAACACAAGGAGTCCTGGATGGTGGAATGTAAAGCAACAGTCCCCAGGAAGGCCTGAACAAACCTCACTTACTGACTCTGACTTGAATGTCACTTTTCCTCATTAACACCAAGGATGGTTGAAACAAAGCTCTGATCTAGAAACTGCAACTCTTACCATTTTTCCCTCTGGCACCCCAAATGCAAGTCTGGTGCATCATAGGTGCCATGGTGGTGGGCTGGGAATGGAGCACAGGCACAAATCGATGGAAGAAGTCGAATCCAAATCCAAAGCCTTCATCCATTTTTCCCAGGGTTCCATTGTATGGTGCTGTCAACTTCTAGTTCCTTTCCATTGGAAACGATCAGAATGTTGAGTAGTGTATGAAGGAACGAACACCTGGGAGCCTTCCTGTCCATTGCATCAACTCACGTGCATGGCAGGGCCTTGGTAGGTGCCATAAGTGCTGGAAAGGTCACAAGATGTGAAGATCATTGAATTCTGCACATAGTGCTAAATGCAGATCCATCAACTTGCGATGCTTTGCCTGGGTCTGGTCCAGTTTTAAAACTGAAGTCTTGACTCTCTCAAGTCCTAATGGCAGCTAACTGGGACAGCTGGTGACTTTCATGGGCTGGCACGTCCCTAGGCGAGAGTAGAAAGCCCTATGACTTTGCACTCTGGCTGTTGCTTTCTTCTGGTCTTCTCCCATATGAGGTGAGTGATATAAAAGTCCTTCACTTCTGGGAGCATCCTTAGGGTCAGACCTTGCACCAGCAGTGTCCCCCAGGTCCTGCCATGGAGGAGAAGCTGTAGGATATCTGTTCCTCTTGATTGCCGTCTCCTCATTGTAGCCCCGTCTCCTGCAACCATGCATATCTCTCTCTCTCTCTCTCTATATATATATATATATATATTACACACACACACACACACACACACACACACACACACACACACACACACGTTTTTTCACCTTTGGACAGATCTAAATGGTCTGGTTACTTTTCCAGCATGTCACTAGGTGGCACTGTGTGGCAGTCCACAGTAGGGGTCTGGACAGGGTCAGCTTTTCAACCAGGAGCCAGAAAACCCCAAAGCTAGAATTTCCCATTCTGTTCTGAAAGAGCTGTGTCACACCCTTTGAACTGTATAGCTCCTCATGTGTGCAGCAAGAAGAGGATGCTAGTACAGTACGAAGATGCCAAAAGCATCATTTTAAACTAAAAGTGTGTTTACAGATCACCTGGTCCACCAATTTACTTTAAAAGAATTCATCCCTCCTAACATGACCAGCTCATTATTATTATTTGTATCTGTGAAAATAGCCATTGGGGTTTTTTACCTCTCTGGGGCAACTTGCCACTTTAATAAACAGTATTGATTTATCTTTGATTGGACAATTCTCCAATTACCTTCAGGACTGAGATTACCATTGTATTTATTTGTGCAATAAGAAATGGTAGCCTTGTAGACTGTAGTTCTTCATTCCCCTTGACTGTGGGGAACAGACATACTACAGGGTTCATCGACAGTGAGGTTTAAAGAATCAAATCGTTCCATTTAGGGCTTCCAGCCTCCCTGCCTTGAAGACAGGAAGTGGGAAAAGCAACAAAATAAGTTAGCTGATGAAGCTAAATTGGAATGTGTTGTGAGCCTCACTACAGCCAGCTAAAACACACACACACAAAGGCAGCATGAAAAGCTAGCAATGCAGTAAAAGTATGTCCATGAAAAAAATACAAGCTACAGCTGCGGAGGTGGGGGGCAGGGGGAGAGACACGATGGAAAGCCAGGAAACAGAGAGTCAATGAAAACGCACCCTTTAGAAAGCAGACAAGCTCAGGAGCGATTTATGGGGTGAGAATGGATGAGTATGCAATGTGTTATGGCTGAGGAAGCAGAGGAGCCTGAAACCTCACAGCCAGAGTGCCTCACCCCACAGCTAGTGGCATCTGGTGACCAGACCAGCCATTTGCTGAGCACCTACTGTGTGCCAAGTATTTAACACATAGTCATCTCTGCCTCTCAAACTCCACAAGGTGAGTGCTCAGCATCTCTACATTCAACGGGGAAAGTGAATTCAGAGAAGTGATGGAATTTCTACTTGGGATCAGAGAACTGGAGAGGGGAAAACTAACTTCAACTCCATAGCCAATCCAAGTGCAAACTCTCCTCTCTCTACCCCACATGATGGGTAAAGACTTGGGACATGAAAAGACTCTTCATGGTCCAGTTTCACCAGGAGCACTGTGGCTTCTGGATGGTAGAATATGTATGATGACTGACAGGAAGACATGAGTTCCAGTTCTGGCACAGCACTGCCTCTTGTTAGCTGTGTGACACTGAGACTTTCACTTAACCTCCCTGTGCTGTAGTGTTTTTAATTATGAATGATAAAAGGTAGGGTTGTTCACAGTAGGATATTGTGATGATTGCAAACATCATTGCTTGGCTCAGTAAATACACAATACTGAAAGACCCCTGCCCCTTAGCTCTTAAGTTTGCCTCCTCCTCCGGTCGGCAGCTGATGGGGCACAGTGGATGCCCCCCCCCTGCG